AAAGAAGACTTTTATTACCAGATATAAAACATGATGAAAATACAAAGAAGTATTTTGTTGGCTTTATTGCCAACAAACACAAGAAGCTTTATAATGTATAAAACTAGGAAGGATTATATTGTCAACAGATGAGATTTAAAGTTTAAGTTTTGTGCAGGAGCATGTTCTGATGACACAGATGCAATGACAGGAAAGCATTCTAGAGTAGTTATAAAGGTTAAGGAGCTGGCACTAGAATGTAAATTGACACACTACTTTCTTCATCAAGAAGTTTAACTTCAAAAAGAGTCAATTGAGCTAAAGAGCAATAAAAACTTTTTTAAAAATTGAATTATGTAAAGGCAATGTGCTAAATGCAAGATTCTCTGTAGTATGTGATGATATAGAAGCCTATAAATTCCTTCCTGTTGTTGCATGCTGAAGTACCATGGTTACCAATTGAAAAAGTCTCAATTGTTATTGTTCTACAGGGTAAGAAACCAGTTTGGTCTAAACTCTTTGAAGAATTCTCAACTTTTTAAAGATGTGAATTAGCCTGACTTGCTTATTGGTCTGATAGCTTTGATATTTTTAATAATATAATCCTCCCTGTAAGAAATATAACTTGTTTTTTAAAGGTAAATAATATTAAATATCAATGTTCCACAGGTACCTCAAATTCAACATTCCACAATTGAATTCATTACTTTTCCCCAAACCTGTTCTTCCTCCTCCTTTTCTTTTCTTGTTACTTGTTGCCACTGTTCACCTGATTACCTAAACCTGAAAGTGAGCCTCAGCACTAATCACCATCCAAGTTATGCTGATTTTACCTCCTCATCATCTCTCATACGTGCTCCTTCTGGTGGCCCTGCCTGCTTCTACCTTGGGTCAGGTCCTGATCCTCTCTACCCTAGACTTCTAACACTTCACCGAGTGGGCCGTTCAGCCGCTGGCCACTGGAATACTCTTTCCAAATGCAAACTTCTTCATGGTAGTTTCCTACTGAAGGCCTTTTGTGAGCTCTTTTACCAGTGGGAGAAATTCCGAAGTCCTTAGAGTGGCATCCAAAGCTCTCCACAATCCAGCTCCTGCACCTGCACCTCTCCAGCCTCAGATCTTTACACCCTCCTAGCATGCCTCACTCCAACCGCACCAGACCGCGTGGGGTGCATGGAGAATGCAGCAGTGTTAAAACTCATCAAGAGGAAGACACCTAGGGCAATATGGTGATGAAAGTGAGGAAAAGGAAGGATAGTTCACTAAGGGGCCTTGTCTTTGTACGGTGGTTGAGGATGAGAGTGAGTCATGGTGGGATTAACTGGCTTTAAGTTTCTGACTAGAATTCTGGTATAGGTTATTCTGTTGCTGTGGAAATACACGTATTATCTGAGGTCAAATGAAGTTTGCTGGATATCACGAAATTTGCAAGTATTAGCACACATATACCAACTTTTTAATTTTTTTATTTCTAATTATGGGTATATAAGAATTATATATTTTTATAGAGTACATGTGATATTTTAATACAGGCATACATTGTGAATTATTTGAATCAGGGTAATTGGGGTATCCATCACCTCAGGCATTATCCTTTCTTTGTGTTAGGAATATTCCAATTCCACATGTTTGGTTATTTTAAAGTATATACTAGGTGATTATAGTCACTTTGTTGTGCTATCAAACTATATTTTTTGCACCCCTTAACTATCCCCACTCTATCCCCTGCTCCCCTTCCCAGCCTCTGATAACCATCATTCTACTCTCTGTCTCCATGAGATCAATTGTTTTTAATAACAATATTAAGCTCCCACATATGAATGAAAACAAGCAATATTTATCTTTCTGTGCTTGATTTATTTCACTTAACATAATGTTCTCTGGTTCCATCCATATTGTTGCAAATGACAGGATTTCATTCTTTTTTGTAGTGATACAATATTCCATTGTGTATATGTACCACAATTTCTTTATCCATTCATCCACTGATAGCCAAGATTGATTCCAAATCTTGGCTATTATGAATAGTGCTGCAATAAACATAGGGGTGCAGATATCCTTTTGATATACTGAATTCCCCTCCTTTGGTCATTTGCCCAGTAGTGGGATTGCTGGATCATAGGGTAGCTTTATTTTCAGTTTTTTGAGGCACCTCCATACTGTTCTCCATAGTGGTTGCACTAATTTACCTTCCCACCAATAGTGTACATGGGTTCCCCTTTCTCTACATCCTCTCCAGCATTCATTGCTTATCTTTTTTTTTTTATTTATTCATTATTCCAGGGTTTTGTGAGGGTACAAACATTGTAGTTACACTTGATGTCTTTGCCTCGCCCAAAGGCATGCCCTTCCCTCCCTTTAGTGCTCCCCGTGTCCTTTAGTTGTAGATTTGCCCCCGCATCCCCCTAATCCCTAGAGAGTATTTCTGCCATGTGATCAACCCAGTGTTGATCAGTTAGTACCAATTTGATGGTGAGTACAAATGGATCCCGTTCTTCTGCTCTTGTGGTGCCCCACTTTGGATAATGGGCTTAAGTTTAATCCAGGAAAATGTAAGAGGTGCTAGATCACTGTCATTTCTTATGATTGAGTAATATTCCATTGTAAACATATACCAAATTTTGATAATCCACTCATGGATTGACGGGCACTTAGGTTGTTTCCACATTCTTGCAATAGTGAATTGTGCTGCCATAAACATTCGGGTGCAGATGTCTTTATCGTAGAATGTTTTGTGCTCTTTTGGGTAGATGCCTAATAGTGCTATTGCTGGATCAAATGGTATTTGTATTTTTAGCTCTCTGAGGTATCTCCAAATTCTTTTCCACAGAGGTTGCACTAATTTGCAGTCCCACCAGCAGTGTAAAAGTGTTCCTGTCTCTCCACATCCTCGCCAACATTGCTTATCTTTTTGATAAAAACCATTTAACTGGGGTGAGATAGTATCTCATTGTAGTTTTGATTTGCATTTCTCTGATGACTAATGATGTTGAGTATTTTTTCATATACCTGTTGGCCATTTGTGTGTCTTCTTTTGAGAAATGTGTATTCAGATCCTTTGCCCATTTTTAAATCAGATTACTTCATTTTTTTCTATTGAGTTGAGGTATTTTATTTACAAATTTGTATAACAACACTGCATTTATCTAGTGCTTTTATTTCCATTATTTTATTTGACCCTCAAAACAGTTATCTCCCAAAAGTTCACTTTCCTTATCTCAGGATTGTTTGCAAGATGTGCTATATGTCTGGTACATAATTAAGCACCAAATGTGTTGTTATTGGTATATCAGGAGGCTCATAATAATTAAATGACTTGCTCAAGGTCACAAAGGTTAAGTTAGTGGCAGATTTAGATACAATGTCTAGATCTTATGACCCCCTCTTTGGTATTCTTTTTACTACACCAGAGTATAATGAGATAATATCTACACATTACTTGATGTGCAGCATCTTTAATTTCCTTGAGTGACTTACCCAAAAGCAAGCTTTGGAATTATTCTAACAGAGAGTTGATTATCAAATTTAAGCAAAATCTACCCCTTGGCTAACATCAAAACACAAATATAAATACTAAATAAATACTATAAATACTTATTTTTTATAGCTCTCATTGCTTCCCAGTGTCTATATTTTACACTTTAGGGTTTCCAGCAGGGAATCTGAGCAGGCTAGCTCCTACCCTTGTGAAGTTCTATGGGGATGTGCTCTCATTTTAATATCGCTTTTTGAAATACTGCTTTCGAGTCCAGTTATATGCTATAGCAAGTATCAGTTTGGGGCCCTCAAGTTAAGGTAGCAGGCATCTGAAGTGAGAACTGGAACAGAAAGAGAATGGCTCTGGGCTGAAGCAGACAGTGATAACCACACCCATCTGTTTTTGTGTTTTTTTATAGAGTTCTGCTGAGGAAGAATCTGAAGCCATAAAAGGTGAACTGGAGATGAAATTATTCAGTGAAACAGTTTCAGCAGGTATTCTAAATTTCATTCTTGGATTTCAACTTTATTGAGATTTTTCTTCTTACTAAAGAAATGCAAAGTCATTGTAAAAAAATTTAGATGTTGCAGAAATACATTTAAAGTGAAAAGTCTTCATAGTCCCTTTTCTAACTAGTGTTAATAGATTTTTAATTTGATTTCTCTCTCTCTCTCTCTTGATTTTTAATAAAACCATAGAATCATATCACACAGGTGTTTTTGTTGAAAATTACTTTTTTCCACCCAATAATATGGTATATACATAGAACACAATACATATTCTACATAAATGAATAATATTCAACACTATTCTAAGTAAGAACACATTGGTAACCTTTTTGTAGAAGCCATATAATTCCATCCAATAATGGAACATTACTTTAATCCCTATTGATAGACAAGTTACTTCTAATTTTTTATTAGTACACACAATAATGTTGTAATGAACTTTTACAAGCACACATACACAATTGAAAATTTCTCAACACTTGTGAGCATTCACAAGTTTTTGTATTCAGTCTTGTCCTGGCAAATAGCAATTGAATATAGTTTAGAAATGTCAAAGTGATAGTGATGTCTAATTTGTCAGTCTTTTACTTTGAGATTTATATACACCTTTTCCATTAACTTTAGCATTGCATTGGGTCATTAAATATGAAATGTCCGATTTCAAATCAAGTTTAGTTTATTATATCTCAAACAAGAAGCAGTACAACTGATCAAAGTATGTGCCTAAACTATCAACACAGTTTTGCCATCTTAACAGTAGCTTGTTTATGCCAACAGCAAAGAAGCCTGGAGAGCTAGTGGCAATGAAACCGCCAAAGGCATTATCCACAGCTTGTTGAGAATTGAATATTTTTCCTTGCAAGAAGTGGCCCAAAGCCTGGATGAAGTTTTAGTCAGTTGGTGCAAGGTTTGGTGAATACAGTCGATGACAGAGAGTTTCCAAGTCCAGCTTCTGTAGTTTGAGCAGCGTTGTTTTTTGCGACATGTGGTCTTGCAAGAGGACTGGCCTATCTCTGTTGACCAATCTTGGTTGCTTAATCACAAGCATCCTCATCATTTTGTCCAAGTGGTTCCAGTAGACACCTACTATAATCAGTTGACTAGGTTTCATGAAGCTGTAGTGGATAATACCAGCACTGGACCACCAAACAGATACCATTAACTTTTTTTTGATGAATATTTGTTTTTGGACTGTGTTTCGGCACTTTGTCTTTATCCAACCATTGTGCAAAATGCTAGCGATTGTCCAAAAGAATCCATTTTTCATCACACCTAACAGTACAGTGTAGAAAAGGTTCACCTTTGTGTCATGACAGCAAAGAAAGGCAAGCTTCAAGACGATTTCTTTTGATGCTCGTTTGATTCATGTGGAACCCACCTATCCAAAGTTTACCTTGCCAATTTGTTTCAAATGGTCCAATATTGCTGGAATAGTAATGTCAAACTTTGCTGCTAATTCATGCATAGGTTGAGATGGATTCACTTTCACTACAGATTTCAGCTCATCATTATCCACCTGGTCTCAGGTCACCCACATGGCTCATTTTCAAGATTAAAATCACCAGAATGGAACTTCTCAAACCAGCAGTGTACTGTGTGTTCATTAGCCACGTCCTTCCCAAACACTTTGTTGATATTTTGAGCTGTCTGCACTGTATTGGTTCCACATTGGAACTCATATTCAAAAATAACACAAATTTAAAAAAAAAAATAATAACACAAATTTTTGACTTACCATGATTTCACAAAAATTGCTCTAAAAATTTTTTTTGAAAGATAATCACAAGCCAAAATGTGCGTTTGAAAGAATGAGGATGTACCTTCACAATAAAAAAAAAGAACTGTCAAAGTGAGATGTCAGAGATATCAACTGTCAAACTTAGTACTTAAAAATCAGACATTCCATACTTAATAACCTATACTTCTTCCAATAACTTCTAAGGAATTTATTTTCTGTGTATTTCTTAGCATATTTTTCTCAACAGTCCTCTTGTCTACTACTTCACTTTTTCCTTTTTTTCCTGTATTTATTTTATTTTATTTCAAAATATTAAGGGGACACAAATGTTTTTGATACATGGCTTGAGTTAGGGCTGTAAATGTGCCCATGACCTGAATAGTGTTCATTGTACCTGTTAGGTGGGTTTTTGCCCCTCTCCTCCCAACTTCTTCACTTTTTCTAACACACTTTTGTTTCAGCAGTCACTGAGGTTTATATCTTTATAGTTTTTCTAAGCTCTTACTGAGTAATTTTACTGCTGGAAATATGACACTGGAGTCAATAAATGAACCTCTGTCAAAAATACCAAACTTTTCTATCTGGTGATCCCCAAATATTACATAACTATCTAAATTTGGACACATTCATTCTTTCTTTTCAGGTAAATTAATTATTAACTAAATATATTTAAAATTAAAGACTGCAATTTATTGATGGCACACAAGAAAAAAAGGGCAATTGCTTAACTGGAATTTGTTTGGTTATTTAGTTTTCAGTGCCTGATCTACATGAGTTAAATTCGGTGTTATCCCAGTGCACTTGCTTTTATGGGAGAGGAAAGTTGTAATAAGAAGTAATCATACTAACAGTTCCTGAGTTTTTGCTATGTTTCTGACACCAGTTCTAAGCTTTTTACATGTATTAACTCACTCCTCTCCCAAATTCTATAAGGTAGCTACTACCATTAGATCCATTTTGTAGAGAAACTGAGAATAGAAAAGTTAATTAGCACATCTTGCCCAAGGTCACACAGCTAATGAAGGGTAAAACCCGTAAGTGGTCTGACTTCCCTTTCTTACCCACTATGCTACATTGAAAGAATTTTGGTTAAGGATGGGAATGGTCCCTGTGATATGGGACTTCAGATATTCCTTCTGATTGTATACCAAAAAATATGGAATCGTATAGAATATAGAATTTCCTAACACCAGAGATTATCCCATCCAGTTTTTTCACTTTCAAGCCTCCATTCCTATTTTTCTATGAGCTGAGCCTACGTTTGTTGAAAAAAAAACATTAGCTTTAATTTCATATATGGACCAAAATTTATTTTTTCACCATACAACTTTTTCTTTTTTTAGATTTTAAGCCTCATAATACCCAATTTTAAGAAATTAATTTGTCAATTATCAAATTTTGTGTTAAGCCTTTTTTTTTTTTTTTTTTTTTGAGACAAGAGTATCGCTCTGTTGCCCTAGCTAAAGTGCAGTGGCATCATCACAGCTTACTGCAACCTCAAACTCCTAGGTTCAAATGATTCTCCTTAATAGTAACACATGCTTATTGTATGAAAATTTCTAAAATCTTAGTATATAAAATAAAAATGAAGCCCTCCCCTGTGCCCCACCATTACACATGCCTATTCCCACTTCCAAGGTTAGCTCTATGAATTGTTTTGAGTTAACCACTTTTTAAAAAGCTTTACTAGCTAGTTAAATAAAAAAATTCCTTTACCAGTACTAGAATTTTTTCATTTTCCTCCTAAGAAAATACAAAAATGTTGTGATCTATTTAGAAACTGTATTAATCTGATTAATTTTAGCACACTTGTTGCTGATAGAGGATGCTCCTCAAAAGCCAGATCTCTTTGAAGACAATGAGGTGGATTTATGCCAATTCACACCTCTGGGTGGAGTGTACCACTTGGATATTTTGGAGCTTCCCCCACAGTGTAAACCAGTGAAGGGCTGGATGATTGTGGAAGTAGGTTGATTCTTGAATCAAAACTTATAAGTAAAATAGTTTCTCATACTTTTACTTTATTTCAAATTATCTAACATCTAATGAGCTTTAATCCTTATTAAACAAGCACAAAGGAAAAAATGTAATTTTAAATAGTCTTAAGTGTATGAGTACTGAAAATTTGAATCAGATGGTAAAGAATCTAATATGAATTTTAAAACTGGAATTCAAATATAGTAACTTAATTGTAAACCTATATCATTATGTTTCGATAGTGCCAATTTGGCTTTAATAATGGTAGTCTAATATTCTAGCGTATGTACCCAATTATGTTGTCATAGCCCACTACCCTCCCCCTTCTACCTTCTCCCTCTCCTCTCCCCTCCTGCACAGCATGGTCATTGATTGCCAGGTACTTCTCACCCTCAATCCCGTCCATTAAGGACCTTGGTGCATTCTTGTATTAGAGAAATATTTATCAACTTTTTTTTCCTATTATTGTCCCCCAAGGATTTTTTTCCTAGTTGCCCCTCTCAATAAAATTTTAATTTCCTCTTTATCCATAGGTGGGTCCCAGCCTGAGCTGGAGTTTTCAGGGATCTATCTAAAGATCTGCTGTTTTTGAATTTTATCAGAGTGTCCCGAGACCACTCCATGCTCTCCATTTAAACCCAAAGAATCCTCCTTCAAACCTATTTTTCTCTCCTACAACAAAGAGGCTTTCCTCCTTTTTTCAAGGCTTTGTTCAATAACCTCCCACCTCCTCTAGAATTTTGTCCCATTGAATTTTTTTTCTCTATTTTCTAACATTTTTAATTTTCTCCCTTCCCTAGATCATTCTCTACTGCATTCAGATAATGCACAAATCTCCCTTATCCCAGAAAAAATTGCTGCCTGCTTAATTCACTTTTCATCCATTCATTTCTATACTTCTCAAAAGGTTGTCTGCACTTCTTTCTGTCTTCACCTACATGCCTTTACCAAGGTATTAGAACATGCAATTTGGGGTCCCATGGATCTGTTTTTGAATTCTGGTGCCTCCTTGAAGTCATCTTATAATCTTCGGCAAAGTACTCTCTTAGTTATTACTGTCTTTGTTAAATACAGGCCTTTAGGATTGCTCGGAGGAATAAAATAATGAATAAGCCCCAGCATAGAAACTGGCCCATTGGAAGTTCTGTAATAACCTTCAAATTTAGTGCTTTTCCCCCCCTCAATCATTTATCTTTTTAGATTTTGTTGTGACATTGTTAGTTAATCTATAGATAAATGGGACCAAACTGCAGTGCTTATTATAATAAAAATAGCTATATAGCTTATTCAGTAATATTTACATTTTTAACCATTACCACTCAACTTCTAACTTTGTGTTGTTTTGGTCATTTTTAAAAGATACTCAAAGAAGGATTACAGAAATACAAGTATCCTCCAGAAACTACAGAGGAGTATGATCCAGAAAATGTTTTCCCACCTATAGATGTCACACTTGAGGTTCACGAGAATGTAATCTTTTTTGAGGATCCTATGGTTGTGAGGTGGGATGCTGAAGGTACAGCAATGCCTTAACCAGCTTTTATAATTATGTAATAAAAAGAGGGATAATAATACAGATCCTTAAATTGAAACAGAAAATGTAGTATATAAACTGAGTTTTTATCTTACATATTTCTATACCAGTTCTAGGGTCTTGTGTTTGCTCTTGATGGGAATAAATAGAGGTTGGAGTTTAAAAACGTATTGGGTTTTATAATTATTAGTTTCTAAACTGTTTATTAATGTATCTGCCATAGTGTCTGAACAATTACTTTATAATTATATCATTATGTTTCAAAATAAGGAAATGAATGAAAATATCAAGGTAATTTAGCAAATCAAAAACAAACAAATGAAGAGCCTACTCTCTCATGAAATAAATAATTCAGATTTGGGTGATTAATATTTGATTATTTTGATGTTAATCATTTATAAATTGCAAACAAGTATTAGGGATAGGGAATGGGCAAAATGGGAAATATGAGAAAGAGGAAAACTAGCCATGATATGCCTTTTTAAATTTTTGATTCTTAAACCATGGGAAATTATTGCTTATTCTAAATATTAAATAAATATTAATAAAGTTAGAAGTACCAACAGAGATATAAACAATGATTTGTTAATCATTAACAAACACCTCCTTTGGGGTAGGCTTGCTGAATTTTGAAAGGTCTTAGTCTTGTGAATTAATGTATGCACTTTTAAGGATCCTAGATGTAAGCTGTATAACTTTGTTTTTTTTTTTAAGTTGTGGTTTTTTTTTTTTAGTTTTTTTTTTTTTTTGGTGACAGGGTCTTGCTATGTTGCCCCAGCTAGAGTGCAGCGGCATCATCATAGCTCACTACAACCTCAAACTCCTAGGCTCAAGCCATCCTCCTGCCTTAGCCTCCCAAGTAGCTAGAACTACAGGCCCACACCGCTGCACCCAGATAATTTTTTTATTTTTTGTAGAGACGGTCATGCTCTTATTCAGACTGGTCTCCAGCTCCTGAGCTCAAGCAATCCTCTGGCTTCAGCCTCCCAGAGTGCTAAGATTACAAGCATGAGCCACCGTGCCCAGCCTGTATAGCTTTGTTTTTAAGGATTGTTTTACATTTATCTATTTGTGAAGGGGTTTACAGACTTGGTGATACTCTGGGAACAGATACACACTTGGTGATAATCTGGGAACAGATAAAATCAAGGAGGCACAGAGCTCTTACATATTCTACTTAATTATTAGGAATTTAAGAATTTAGGAACAGAGAATTTAGGACCATCTATCAAGAAGAGTAAATATTTTGTAGTTTAAACTTTATGAATGTCCCAGTGCTCCACATTTTTGCTTGTGTAGACAGAGCCACAAGATATTATTTATATTCTAGAAATAGTTTAGGTATTTAAAAACAGTAAATTTTTAACAACATATTAAACTATAAAATACATCAAAATGGAAAATTATGTAATTTCTTCTTTCATATTGCTTTAGAGGTGTCACTTAAATGGTAATCCAAGAATAAGACCCCATCTCTACAAAAAATAGAAAAAATTAGCCAGGTGTGGCGGTGCACACCCGTAGTCCCAACTATTCGGGAGGCTGAGGCAGTAGGATTATTGAGCCCAGGAGTTTGAGGTTGCAGTGAGTTATGATGATGCTACTGTACTCTAGCCAGGGTGACAGAGCAAGATCCTGTCTCAAAAAAAAAAAAAAAAATGAATGTTCCTGAATATTTATCACATTAAAAATTATTCACACTAAATTAGAATTAGACAAGGTAAATTATCCCACATAATTCAGAGAAATATAACTGTACAAAATTTGACTCTATAACTGCAGTAATCAGACAACAGTAATTCACAACTCTAGTAATTTTTAAATTATAGGGAAACTTTTTGCCAGGAAATACTAGAAATTTGGAGAATTTATTGATAGGCAATAATTTTTACCATTACAAATTAAAATAAATTTTGTTAATATAGAAGCAAAAAGAATTAAAAATAATGTAGTTCATCAGTATAACTATATTTATTATATTGAATTTAAGAGAAAAAACTAGTCATGGAACCCTCCATATGAGAAGAGGAAAGAGAGCCAAATAGAAGTGGAGAGTGTCTGGGAAGAGAATGGTTCATTCATTTGTCCTGTAAAGATCTAAACAATGAGAAATACAGAGATAAATGAGATAACTCCTTCTTCTGGGAGTTTTCAAAGTTGTAGGGGAGCTGAGGGTAGGGGTTGGGGGGAAACATCATACTGTAATACAGCATAGCAGGGTGCTAGAATAGATGCAAAGTACTCTAGAGCCTGGCAGGGACAGGGGCCATCTAAAGAGTCACAGAAGAATTCTCATTGGGTGGAATATTGAGCAGGGCCTTAGAAATCGAACAGAACATTTGCATGCAAGACTTCGTGAAGATACATGTTTTCGGTTCTCTTGAGGATATACCTAGGAGTGGAATTGCTGGGTTGAATGATAAATTTATATTTGACTTTTTAAAAAACTGCCAAACTTTTTCAAAGTAGCTGTACCATTTTACATGTCTGCCAGCAGTGTTTGAGGTTTCCTATTTGTCCACATCCTTGACATTTGTTATCTGTCCTTTTGATTATAGCCCTTCTAGGGGGTGTGAAGTGGTATCTCATTGTGGTTTTAGTTTATATTTCCCTAATGACTAATAATGTTAAACATCTTTTTATGTACTTATTAGCCTTTCTTCTAGATAGCCTATATCTTCTTTGGTGAAATGTTTATTCACATCATTTACCCACTTTTAAATTGAGTTGTGTTTTTTATTGAGTTGTAAGAGACACAAAAGATTACCTAGTATGTGACTGCATTTGTATGAAAAGTCCAAAAAAGGCAAATATTTAGAGACTGGAAGTATATTAATGGTTGCCTGGGGCTAGAGGTGTGAATGGGAATTAACCGTATATGCACATAAGGGATCTAATCAGGGGGATAAAAATGTTCTAAATCTGCATTGTGGTGATTTTTTCACAACTGGGTAAATTTACAAACATTTAATTGTATACTTAAAACAGGTGAATTTTAAAGTTGTTTTAAAATAAAGGTTAAAAGAGTTTTCTTTATAAGATTAGAGAAGAGTATTCTAGGAAGAAAGATCTGCATGTGCAAAGACCGAGAGATGTGTGTTGTTGTTAGGGAAGGAAAAAAGTGGGGCTGAAAACAGGTGTGAGAAGTGATAAGGGACGGAGCCAGAAAAGTGAATCAAAGTTTCATTCTGACAGTTCTACTTCTAATGCTGAGTTTGGACTTGATCTTGTAGGCAGGGGAAGTCTCCCAGCACAGTTGGCCTTTTGTTGAGATTCTATTCTAAACATAAAAGGTCAATTTATACACATAAAAAATATTTGGGTAGTTTCATTCACCTTATTTTTTATAGGAAAAAAAATGAAACTAATGTCACTTTCTTCATTTATTATAAAGGTAAACATTGGAGAACTGATGGCATCAGCAATGTATCTTACAACCAAGAAGAAAGACTTATAACATTCTGCTTGGAGACCTTTGGCCCTGTTACCTTGATTCAAGATACTCATATTAACATGCCATACCAGTCATGGGAACTAAGACCACTGGATGTAAATAAAGTACTTTTGATAGTGACTACAGTATTTACTGAGATTCAGATACAAATTAAGGTGAGTTACTCTCACCTCTTTGATAGATATAATTGAGTGTATCAAAGCAGTCAGTCACTGTTGATTTATATATTGAAATGTCTTTTATAACTACATTTAAAGTGTACCTGGAGCTATAATTTCTAAATGAAATATTAATTGGATAATTAAATAGGCAATAACATATAAATAGCAAGGCTCAAACCCTAAAGTTACTAGGGATAGGTCAACTAATGAACTGACAAGCCTGGTTGCAGTGTGAATTTCAGAGAGTTTTTGATCCACCCTAAAGAGGCTCCCTGATCCTTACCATTCAGCCATTTCAAATCCCCTTGGAGGCTGGTTTCTCTCTGAATGAGCCTCTATTTCTTTTTAGTCAGCAATTACGTAGCCTGAAATTTATGGAGACAGAAGATTGGTGGTTGGCTGGGGCTGGAGGTAAGAATGGGAATTAACTGTAAATGGGCATAAGGGATCTTACTGGGAGGGATGAAAATGTTCTAAAACTGATTTATGGTGATATATGTACTACTCAGTAAAGTTACTAAAAATCACTGGATTGTATACTTGAAACGGATGACTTTTGTTACCAAAAGGTTGGCACTTGTCCCCCAAGGCTGCATCAGAAGAATAAGCACAAGTGGTTTGAGGAAAAGGAAAGAGAAGTTTATTTATTTGCCAGAAAATGAGGAGGTTGGCAAACTCCCATCTTAAAGTACCAACATCCTGCTTCTGAGCAGAAATATAGGGCTTGTAAAGAGAATGGTTCTGATTAATCCCATCTTCAGCTAAGACAATCTTATGACCCCCACCCAGACAATTCCCTTGAGCCATTTCCTATGTTACAAAGAACAAAGGACACTCCCCTTTCCCCCTTCTGACCACTGGTCTGAGGCAGGGATGTAGGTTTTAGTTCTCAAAAAAGTTGAAGGGGTTTTGAAGAGACAGAAAACATTTTTACCCTTTTTGAGGCCATTCTATTATGATATGTAAAATAAATCTTAATGTTGTTCTTAAAAAGAGAGATAGCCTGGAATTTCTTATTGAATGTAGCAGAAGACTAGAATATTGTTAAACATTACTTTTAAAACCGGATGAGATGGGAGATGGGGATCTCAGGGTAATCAGTCTACAAGGGCCCTTAAAATGCTTCTGGTCTACCCTTACGTCTTACAGAGAGGGAAACTGATGCCCAAAGAGATCAGGAGATTAAGTGACTTTTCCGAAATGGTGTAAGGGCTTATAGTTTGGGAGCCTACTGTTAGGCTTCCCCTGTACCATTCCAGCAGCCCTGAAGACCCCTGACTCTTCTTCTAATCCCATGGAAGGATAAAAACACCTTCACAGTGTTCATTTATTAATATGAAGATTGAAACAACAAAGATTACTCAGTGTACATTTTCAGGTCAGATTTTAAAGGTACATCTGTGCTGTCTAATATAGTATCTACTTGCCACATGTGGCTACTGAGCTTTAAAAATGTGACTAGTGCAAATTAATATGTACTATAACTGTAAAATACATATCATATTTAGAATACTTGATGTAAAAAAAGAATGTAAACTGTCTCTTAATAATTTTATACTGATTACATATTGAAATATTTTAGATATATTGGGTTAAGTAAAATATATTAACATTAAAAAAATTCCAGATGGTAGATGTGAATTCCATACCTTCAAATTGCCACTTTACGAAACTTTATAACTGGATAATAGTTTTACATCATTATGTTAAATTTTACATGTAAAAAATTAAGAATGATGCTTGAAATTAGTCATGATTTTTATCAAATAGCTATTTTAATTCAATGTGAACATACACAGATTCTCAGGTCATAACTTATAAAATCAGAGGAGATTTGGGAGATCCTTTACTCCATTCCCTTGATGGTTCAGATGAAGCCCAAAAAGAGTTATTAATAGTAAACTGCTTACAGTAACATGGGGACTTTGGGATGGAGCTCCCAGATCAGGCCTAACACATGCCTGCCCTGTACTCTTTTAAATATAGTGATAAATGATTAAAAATATAAAGAATCTAAAGGCTGGGCCTGAAATGATACTGAAGTAATAATCTCAACTTACATAAAAGCATTTTTTTTCTTATTTAACCTAGGAAAACCTCTGCATGTTATCTTCAATCAAACTAAAAGACAAAAAAGAATATTCCTCTATTTTGGAAGGAAAATGGATGACTCCTTTTTCTTTCATTATGGCTTTGAAGGAAGCTGGACTGAATATCTTCCCTAGTGTACACTCTCATTTTTATGTTGCCATAAACACTAAGGCAAGAAGGAATCTTTGCAAATTTAATGTAGGGGACATTTAGAATGTTAGCAAGTATTAAATTTTATATAATATTGTGTACACCGTGAGTTTTATACAGGATTATATAGTTGAGAAAGGAAGGAAAGAATAAGTGAAAAGACCAGAAATCCAGAGTTCTCTCATGTTTAGTAATTTTCCCCAAGAAAGTAAGCCTGTAGTATGATCTTTATATTGACAAATGGAGTGTTTCCATAGCTGATCAGTTTATTGCAAAGGTAGTCTAAGTGACTTCTCATCTTATATATTTTCTTTCTTTTTCCATGACTGGATATATGTAAGATTTCTTAAAAGGGTAAATAACTCTGCACTTTCCTCAACCTGGTAAATTAGGCAAAATTAAACATATACAAGGACCACCAATGTACAAAACTCACTTTCTTTGGTTTCTTGGCAGAGCCTCCATGTCTGTATACTGTATCATGTTATTGATAAGGTTTTAGTACCAATACTATGATGTTCTGGTTACTAAGCCTTGTAGTATAGTTTTAAGTCTGGTAATATGATGCCTACAGATTTGTTCTTTTGTTTAAGATTGCTTTGGCTATTCAGGCCCTTTTCTGGTTCCAAACAAAGCATAGAATTATGTTTTCTAGATCTGTGAAATATGACATTGGTATTTTGGTGGAGATTGCTTTGACTCTTTAAATCATTTTGGGCAGTATAGACATTTTTATGATGTTGATTTTACCAATCCATGAGCATGATTTTTTTATTTGTGTCACTTCGATTTCTTTCATCAGTGTTTTCATAGTTCTTCTCGTATAAATCTTTCACCTCCTTGGTTAACTATATTCCTAAGTATTTTATTTTCTTTGTAGTGATTGTGAATGGTATTGAGTCTTTGCTTTGACTCTCAGCTTGACTGTTACTGGTATATAGAAATGCCACTGATGTG